CATAAATATTTTCTTGAGCCCACTAGGTTATTCAATTGGTGACACATTAACTGAAAGTTTTTAATATTCCTAAGGAATATTGGTGGGGGTTTGTTTGGATTCCCTGGGGGTGGGTGCTGCTTCCATTTCTTCGTTTTGTGTATTTGATAGCACTTGAAATGGGTTCTGAGTGAAAAACGGCGATTCTTCACCAGTCTGAGTTGTCTCATGATTGTTTTGTTGTTGTGAGGTACCAGGTTGGGGATCCACTTCTTCAACAGAGCTCCCTGGTGTGGCTGGTGGAGTATTTCTTTTCGAACGTCTTGTTCTTTTTTTAATAGGAGAACTCATTGTAGTATCGAGGCTTCTGGATCTAGTATTTTTACCCTTGCTCGACATTAGTATATGATAATATCACATTTCATATTATAAATGATAGGAAAAATTGTTAAATGAGAAGCGATAACAATTTTTTTTTTTAACACGGAAATATATACGCGTGCTTAGAGAGGACTGGTCGGCACAGAACCTCCTCGGACGGAGAGCCAGAGCCCACTGGTGGGATTAGCGATGTTATGGCCGGCCGTTATCAGTAACTAACCTGATGTCTATTTACACTGTTCACTATTGAGCTGTAAATAAGTGATTACTCACCTTATTCTTTTGTTCAGTAACAAACTTAATTGTTAATATAACAGGTAACACTGTTGTTTCGCATTGAAGTTGAACACTGCCACTATTAATGAAGAATTTTGTAAGAGACGACCTGACGTTTGTTTAACTTAGGCTAACGCATGCGCAGAACTCGATCCCTGAATAGAACATAAAATCTATATTGCCTTTAATGCCTCATAAGGATAGAAAGACCTATACACCGAACCTAGCTCTATAGTTTTGAATGACATGATATTTTTCTGGTATTTGTTTCATTTCTGAATGATATGTAAGAGGTCCTTCGATAGAGTTGCATTTAGAACATTAAGAATTTTTTCAACTTCAATTAGAGTTAAGCCACAATTTGTACGACCATGGTTAATTCTCAATCTTGTAAGTATAGATATTTCTTTTCTGATCAGCATTACACTAGTGATGGGGAACATAATTGATAAATTGAAATAGAGGAATAACATTATAAATATAAGTTGGATAATATGACAAAGTTCTAACTGTAAACTGTAAAATTAAATATTCAAAATTACATTAATCAGAGTTATAACTGTGTTATAAACATAAGTTGACCGCTTCAAGATATTCTACCAAATAATTTGTAAGCTCAAGTAAAAAAATCTGGTGCGCGCAACACACAATTTTCACTTACCGCTCAACTTTAAATAGAAACTATTTTCTGGCTAACTTGGACTATTATGAACTTTTTGAATTGCATTTTTAACTGAGCTAAAGCTAAAAAATTATAGCTAACAAATCATAAATACCATTAAAATAACAAAAGCCCTATTTATTATATCACCGGTTGATTATGGATTGTACGACTATTAGTTATTAAACTGCTTTTTTTCCATTGCAAAGTTTACTAAAATAGAATTAAGAGATATGCATTGTCTGTCATAGACAGGTCAAAAGTTGTCACACTAATTGTAAGTGGATACTGTAAGAATAACACAAAAGGAAATTTCATCAAACTATTCACTATTTAATTTTCTAAAAGGTTACTTGATGATTTTATGTAATAAACAGACGATAGATACCTAAATATTTAAATATAGCATCAGATTTGGAGTTATTAAACTATATTTTAAGTTATAAACGTATCTGTGAAATACTCTTATATTTCACTTTTTCTTTCACACAACTACAATGGAATAACAGTGGATACTGTTGGAATATCACAAAGGGAACATTCATCAAATTATTCACTAATTTAATTTTCTAAAAAGTTAGATGACAACATTGATACGTTATTATTTAAATATTATATTGGATCTAGAATTACTAAACTGTAGTAAATGTATTTAAGTGAAGTGTAAGTAAAAAAAAAAAATAATAAAGTAAAATTCAGTTGTTAGAATAATGACAATAGTAAGAACTAAGAGATAAATGATAATAAGTGTGTAATGATGAAGTAAACATAATAAAAAAGGTGACATAAGTATTAAAATGGGAATCTTAGAATAAAATGTAAAAACATAAAAATATGAAGTTATATAAGAAATGGGAATAAACAGTAAAATTAAGATATTGTGAATAGAATAGTTAGATAGAAAATTGAGAATCTCAATTTTCTATCTAACTATTCTATTCACAATATCTTAATTTTACTGTTTATTCCCATTTCTTATATAACTTCATATTTTTATGTTTTTACATTTTATTCTAAGATTCCCATTTTAATACTTATGTCACCTTTTTTTATTATGTTTACTTCATCATTACACACTTATTATCATTTATCTCTTAGTTCTTACTATTGTCATTATTTTAACAACTGAATTTTACTTTAATTTTTTTTTTTACCTACACTACTTATGTTTCTCATACCTTGTTATCTGGTTCTTTTCTTAGCCCTGATGATGGCCTGAACTTCAAGTCGAAACGTAGGCTGATGTCAAAATAAATAGTATCATTTATTTTTGCCTTCTTATTTGACTGATCACCCAAACTATTCTTCCCTTCATCATTCTTTATTATTATTACTATCACGGAACAACGACTTGGTGACGAGTCTTGGCCTCCTCCACCATGTCGAGATTTATATGTGTGCCGAGAGGCAGGATGCAAGTTACCAGAAGGCCTCGACAGTGCATGTTTAGTATTGAGGGTAAAGATGGTAGGTGGATGAAGGAAGGTGTATAGATGGATGACCTCGAGTGATAGCCAGATCAGCACCCAATCACTCTAGACGAACTTGATGTACTTTTAATAAAAGGTGAGAATCTGTTGCCGCTACAACCACCTTCCTCCAGTTATCTCTGTTCTGTGCGGCCATCATTCAGCTCCTGACTCCAAGGACATCCCTTGAATCTCTTGCCACACCGTCTGACCATCTTTTGGTCTCCCTCTTCTTCTTGTGCCGTAGATAGGCTCTGTCAGAATCATCCCAGGGATTGCTCCATTCTCTATTCTTGCCACATACCCAGCCCATCTCAATCTTCCAAGCTTCATCCTGAGAACGACATATTGATCATTAAAAGATGAGTAAATTTCGGCATTTGTCCGTCTTCTCCAATTTCCATCAATCTGTACTCCTCCAAATATTCTTCAAAGTATTTTTCTCTCCAAGATTAGGAGGTCTTGCTCATTTTTTTTAGTCTTCATCGATGTTTTTGAAGCATAGAACAGGACTTGGAGGATTAGTGTTTTATAGAGATGTAACTTGTTATGCCAGGATAGAAGGCGAGAGGTGAATTCCTTGCTGAGGGCAAAGTAACATTTGTTAGCCATAAATATTCTTTTCTTGACCTCAACCTCGGGTGCATTGTCTTGTGTTACCAGTGACCCCAAACTGCACTACTTTCTTAAAGTTAAAGAGGCCAATATTGATGGTCTTGCCTGGTCGAGGGACTTCTCCTGTGGCCATATATTTAGTTTTGTCTTCATTCACTTCTAATTCAAGTGCTCTGGCGGCCTCCAACAAAGCTAAAGATCCCTCTCCAACAGATTGCAATGACTATCCCATGATGCCCATATCATCAGCATAGGCTAATAGCTGAACCATCCGGTTGTAAATCGGCCCATTAGTTTGCAGACCAGAATCCCCGACTGCCTTCTCAAGTGCCAAGTTAAACAGAAGGCATGCCAACGCATCACCTTGGCGAAGTCCTTTTGTTGAGGAGAACTCTTCTGTCCGTTGACCACCAACCTGCACAGTGCACGTTACATACCTCATGGTCACCTTCACCTGCACAGTGCACTTTACATCTCTCATGGTCAGCTTCACCAATACTATTAGCTTCAAAAATTTCAAAATTCAAACATTTCCTCAATCGCAGTACTTACCCTTACTATATATTACATATATAAGTAAGTGAAAGTAAAAATGTTCATAGTTTAAAGCTCAATAAAGGTTAATTTAATTAGAATGTTTTCAAACAAAAGGTCACCAACTATTTAAAAGAAATAATATGTTATAGTGTAATATTGATGATATTTATAAGGGAATAAATAAATTAAATAATATCTTAAACTTGTTAAATAACGCATATTTATATATTATGAAAGGAGACATTTTACAACAGCGATTGGTTTAAATAAAAACAATGTAAATTTATTTTATTTTAATGAACAATTCAGTGTACAGACTAAACAGAAATTTATCCAGAAAGATAAATTTATGCTTCGAATATAAATAATATATCATGAACATTAAAATTTGAATGCCAATTTGTCGAAATACAGAGAATTAGATTGATAATTGTTAATGTATATTTAACTTTTACAATTAATCATTAAATACTTTTATTATTTTGGTATAATCCTAAACAAGAGTTCAACAGTTGAAATAGATAATTTAAAATCATTTTTCTCTTGCTTCCTCACTTGATAATAGACATTTACAAAGGGTCCACTACATTAGCCTAAGTGCTGTTATACATTATTCTAAACAAGAATGAACTATTTACAAAATGGGGAAGAGATGAAATATTTACAAATGTATTAAATAAACAATAAATAAATACAGAATAAATGCAATCATATTTCACATTTTTTACTTATTACGTATAATTAATAGTTGTTTCATGTTTCTCCTTTTTAATATTTTATCGCTAAAATCGCACTGCATAAAATATAAAGCACTATGAGAAATAGATGAATCATGCTAGAGGTTCATAAAATAATTACAATATAGGTTCACTTAAAAAAATATTAAAATAATGGTAATCATATTTGGTATGAATATTTACAGACACAGTTAAAAATCGTTGGCGGATTCGATGCAATCAAACGCCAGGCATAGCTAAGTTGCTTGTTAGTAAATGAAATAAATTAGCCAACGTGAACCGTTGAAGAAGGAACATTAATTAGTAAACAGTTATTGCCTACACGTAGATAGTTTAAAAAACAAATTAATCTTCTTCACTTTCACGTCCTTTCTTGACGCGCTTACTCTTTAGGTTCCTCTTTTTCTTTGCCCTCGGCGTGACCTCACAGCTGCACCCGCTCCGCACCCTGATGTAGTCAAGCATCCAGTTGGTCCCCTTCGCTGAGAAGGAGGTGAAATGATTTAATCGGTGATGTGGCTTCATTTCTTCGGCTAAAGGCTCCTTTACAATGGCATAGGTATATGAATACTTCTGAACGCAGCGGGATTGGTTGTGCAGTTTCCTGTCCATGAATCTGCACGGCTTGCCTTCAACACCTTCACGACAAGATAGCTCATAGAACCTGAAACAATAAAATTAAAATGCAATAAAAAAAAAGAAAAATAAATGTATAAAATTAAATTTTATAGAGACTAATTTTTAAACCAACTTTCTTATAAGTTTTTTTTTTTTTTTTTTTTTTTTTAATAGCCTGACGTTAACTGAACTAAATCAGAGTAAAGTTTCAACTCAGTGAACTTCTGATAATGCTTTTAAAGAACTTTTAGCTTTGAACAAAGTCTTCTTTAATTTTTTTCAGTACGCTTACTACCAAAAATCAGTGTAGTTAAAAACACGATTCACCACTGTTTAACACTATCTGACTTAAAATTCCACAGCTACTAAACTAGACTATACAAAATGCTGAAATCAAGCAACTATTCTTCCAAATTTCCACGCCCACACATAATGTTTAAAAATAACAACAAATTAGGAAACTTGTACACCAGACATAAAGATCCTGTTCCACTTCTATAACAGTCTAAAATCGTATACCGTATCTCATGTTCTAGCCCAGATTGCAATTCTTCATATATAGGAGAAAACAAAAATTATCTCAACAAATGAATTTACCAAAACAAATATAGCATCTCCACACACAACCTGTTCGCATCGAAACTAGCCGAGCAAGGCATAACTCTTGACCACACATTTGATTTTTAAAACCCAACCATTCTTGCCACAGTTCTCAACCACCAAAAAGGACTAATTTCCGAATCTATACTTATTAACTTGGAAAACAATAAGCTGGTGAACCATAAAGCAGATAAAGAAAAGATGTGTAATACATATTCTAACATTTTCCGTCCCCTTAAACAATAGTCCGAATGTTCATTTTACTCCACTTTCTATGTCATCACAAACATGTAAATATTCCTGTGTTTATATGTATATGAAAATTAATGTGACACAATTAATGTTTCTTACTAAAATATACATTTAAAATAAAGAAACCTACTGATTGCTAAAACTATTACGTTTTTCACTTATAAATACGCATCAATTCTTATGACAGATATCTGGTAGAAAAACACAATTTCATGAAAATGCAATGATTTTCGTTGCATGAAAAATCATTATTTTTCATTTTATATATAAAATGTGTTTTTAGGCAATTATGTTTATTACAATACATCTCATATTATGGAAAAGCAATAAATAAAAGCTTTGCAACAGTTAATTGAAATCATTTTTGCTAAAAATACGGATACTCTCGGGTGACTCTATAGAAAATAATAAATGAATTTCCTAATAAACCTCAACTTAATGAAAGTGGACTTAAACCTTATTAAGCGAGCAAGTTATTCTAAAAGTGGAGTGAATGCAGCACTGTTTAACAGTGATAAAATAAATCGCAAATAATTTATGATTGTTTTTTAAACGTAACTTAGCTGTGTTCGTCCGTTCAAGAGCCTTCTTTAAATAGTTTTAACAATTTCACTTTCGTTTAAAGAAAATTTTATCACGTTTACCATGGAGCAGTATAGCAATTTTTAATTACTTAAATAAAGCATTTTTTATGTTATCGAATCTTATACAACAACAACTAACATTGCATAAAAAAACAAAAATCTTAAATTTCCTACTTAATTGCTGGAAATTGGGCAATTGTTTATTAACCTTTTTTGTGGATATTGATGTCTACTATCAAGCTTTTAAATATTCCCCTCTACTTACGTGACACTCTATATAGATATGTTATACACTAGCGGATCCAGCTGGGGGTCGCGCCCTCTACATCTCCTCTCCCCCTCCTCTGGAAGCTGGAAAAAAGTTCTAAAAAGCAGCTATTTTAAGAAAAGAGAAATAAAGGGAAAATTCATCCTCATAGGCGACGAATATCCTAATGTATTATAAAAAAATAATTATTATCGTGACCAGCATCAGCGAATTCTGACAGGGGCCGCGCCCTCCCATGGATAGTGGAAAAAATACGAAGATAGTGACAAAAACACCTATTTAAAGAAAAGAGAAACTTATATATTTATTGATTTTTTATTTTATATCCATAAGACGAAGGCAGTGTTTATATCCAAAATATTCTTTTATCATTCTCCTAACCTGGGCCTATAACGCCAATTTTTTGTTTTATCCGGTAAGGTCCCTTATCAGGTTTAATTTCTTCTGAATACCTGATGTCAACAACTTTATCCTTAGGTTTAGAAGGTCTATCATTAGTTGTGATGTCGGTTACAGTTTCTTCCTTTTTATCTTCACTTACATCAGTCTCTTCTATTACTGGCAAATCAGGGTTGATTTTATCAGATCTAGACTCATCTTCCTTCATTAATTCATTTTCAATTAATATTTCTTTTTCTTCATCAATGTTCTCTTTTTCAGCTCCGGATGGCTCACTATCATTGACTGTTTCGGCCATGGATTCTTCACAAATAACAGTAGTCCCACAATCCTTTTCATCATCAGTGGTTTCCTTTATTTCTTCATTAGCATGACTTCCATCTAAATTTTCATTATTATCAACTACAAAGTTTTCAATACTTTGTACATTTGTAGGATCCTCTCCATCTTTAATTTCCATAGTACTTTCATCATTATTACTTCCTAGTGGTTCACCATCTTGAATAGATGAGCTCTGTATATTAGTGACATCTTCAGACTTGATGTCTTGTTTATTATTGGTTTCATTGATATGGACTGCTTGATGCCTTAACTCCATTTTTGATTCATTTTTCACTCCTGCGTCATTTATATTTATATACTTATCAAATGTGTTATTGAAGTTTTCTATTTCTTTTCTTTGTTCTAGGAAACCCGATCTGAATTCATCTTTCAACAATGTGAGTGCAGCCAAAATGGTGGCCATATCAAAATTTGGCTGAGCTTTTGCTTGGGGTTGGTAGGTGCCTGTGATCTCATCCATGTTTGATTGTTGAGAGATTTCACTAACGACTGGGCTATTATTAATTGCTATGCAAAACTGAAATATAAAAACTTAAAATATGTTCGGAAAAACGGTTACGGATTTTTCGAAACCTACACAAAGTTTTAACATTTTAGCGTAGTCTTTGCGCTACGCCATTTTGAAATTTCGAAACAAACAAATTTATTTATTTTTTAATGAATTGAAAGTTAATTAATCTTGCGCGACCCAATCAGCAGTTCACATCTGTTCGGCACCAATTGTAAATAATCTGATAAAAGTTAAATGTAGATAATTTGTTTTGGCGGGAATTGTAAATATTTCTTCCGTTTATATCGGGGAACTAGGTTATTTACACTCGTGAATGTTAAAACAAAACTCCGGCACTGGATATAGACTTTTTGAGGGTGTTTAACTGTTGTTGGGAATTTGGGAATCTAATACCTTTTGTGACATTGAGTGACAAGAAACAATAAGAATATATATATCTGAAATGTGGGACTCAGTAATTGAATGAATTGAACTTTGAATGAATTGACTCACCTGGTTTGTTATTCTTCAATAGTGAGGCCTATGGAACAAATAAATAAATAAATGACTTTTCACTCCTGCCTAACAAAACAATTTATTTTTACAACTGTAATAAGTGAATATATTAAAGTCTTATAGCTGTAGGCTTCATATTCTTTATTTTCAGTGCAGTGCCTCTCTCTTCTGACAACCTCCTTTCTTCCTGTCCAGGCCTAGAGTCCTCTTGCTTCCGTGTCCCAGCCTCAAGTGCCTTCTCTTCTCTCTAGCGTCCTTCTCCAGCTGTTGCTACCTGCTCCGTCCTTTTTCAAGCGTCATCGATTGTTTATCGATATGAGACTTTTCAATGAACTATTTGTTCACTGCACAATTGAGTACAATTCACAGCGCAACCTCACATTTCTATATATTCCTTCTCATCCCTTCATACAATGTCACATAAAGAAGTATTATTTATTTATCAACCCTGCCGTGCCTAGTAGGCAATACAGGTGTCTGCAATAGTAAGATGTTAGGCAGGTCAGCTTAACATCCCACTGCTGCAAATGAATCTTGTTCTTCTGCTCTTTCTTCATTTTTTTTTCTCTTTCATCATGGTTGCTTTTCTCATCCGTTTCCCGCCAATGGTATAGTTCCTCTTCCTCCTCTTCTTAAATTAAAATGGGCTGGACCCACCGTGACTTTCCACCCGTACACAAAATCTTTGTAGTACGGGTAGTTTTCCGCAGTGACTAACTGAGGAAAATCGTTCTCTGTGAGAATGTAGAGACCGGTTTCCCTCAGTAATTTAGCCCTTAGTTCTTCAAAGGCGGTGCAGTCCACTATGATGTGCTTAGCAGTCTCCGGAAAACCGCAGCTAGGGCATAGGAGGTCGATGTCCATCCCATGGCAATGAAGCTTTGCTCGAAAGCCCCCATGGCCTGTGAGAAATTGCGAGAACCAATAGTCCGGGACGATCCACCTTGCTTCTAAACGTGACCGGACGGTGGGGAAGTACTTCCTCAAGGTAGATCCTTTGGGGGTTATCACCCACCGCCGGTTCCATTCCTCTAATGTGTCGTCCCGTATAATGTTTTTCCATTTGCAAGGAATCTCGTCAATTCTCACCTTAAGATTTTCCGGTAGACCTGCTGAGCCGTTTTTCTTAAACATGTGCTTCATCATGTCTTCTCGCAGGTCGAGAGGTACCCCTCCTGCTAATACCTGCACCGCCTCATGGGATACACTTCGCCCTGGTGACCCGCAGCAATGCCGTTCGCTGTATTGTCGCCAACTTACTCTTCTGTCGGTGCGAGAGATTCTGATTCCAGGCGGGAGACGCATACCTCATGATACCCAGAATCACTCCCTTATAAATTTTTAAGGTTGCTGGGTATCTGAGGCCCCAGAAATCGCCCCCAACCCGACTGAGACCGTTCAAAGATAGGGCCACCCTCTTTTTAAGATAGTCCAAGTGAGGGGTAACGTTGAATTTTTTTCCAAATTTTACGCCTAGATAAGTGACCTCCTCACTTGGACGTATTCTCGATCATTGAATCGTTATGATAATAGGGTGTGTTCTGTCAGTTTTCCCTTTCATGACAATTGTATGAGTCTTTGAAGCGGCCATTGATAACTTTTTCCTCTCGCACCATTCTCCGACCAAGTTGGCGCATCGTTCCGCTTCTTGTCTTAAGCCGGCTATGCTATTGGAGGCCAACACTACTGCCAAATCGTCAACGTATCCAGTGGCAGGGAACCGCTGTTCTTCTAACACTCCCAACAACTCATCAAAAACGAGCTTCCATAAAGCTGGACCAAGTACCGATCCTTGAGGACATCCCCTCTCTATGAAAGCTTCAGTCTCATAAGAACTGCCACGAACCTTTACACGTCTGTCCTGTAAGTAGCTTCTTATCAAGACATATAAGTTACTGGGAGCATTATATTTCTACAGCTGCAGGAGCACAAGAGGCCGCCAGACGCTGTCGAAGGCGGAGGATATGTCAAATAGCATCAACATGACATACCGCTCCGTCCTCAGTTCAACGTCTTCACGTACTCTCAGCAGGGCATCAGCAGTTCCCTCCCCCTTAGTGGAGCCGTATTGCCGTAGATGACTTGCTCTGGCAAGAACTGGTGCTAGACTGGTCATGATAAGGTTCTCCAGGACCTTGCTCATCACAGGGAGGAGACATATGGGTCTATAGGACTTGGGAAGCTGTTTATCCCTATTCCCTCCCTTGTAGAGGAGTCTCAAATCGGCGATCTTCCAGGTTTTGGGAAAGTATCCCCTCTCCAGACAATCTTTGTATATTCCCAAAAGTCTCTCATTAATGTAGGGAATACTACTCTTAAGGATCGCCGCATCTATAGCATCGAGTCCTGGAGAACGACCGATTTTCTTCTTATCCACGGCAATACGGAGATCATATATGTTCCATCGTAGGCACAAGTCCGTATCAGGTGGATATGCCGTGGTGCGTCTCACGAAGTTTTCCTCATCGCTGTCTTGAGACGGATCATCCCTGGGGTACGTCCTCGCAATGAAGATTTCGGCTGCCTCCTCAATGTTGGTTGCCTGGACGTCCCCGTGCCAATGTTTGCTGCGTACTAAACTTCCCCATTACCACCCTGGAATACCCCAGGGATTCTTCGTGGACTCTTCAACAATGAACTCATCCCAGAACTTTTTCTTCTGTGAACGCACCTCGTTTCGGTATACCCGGCCCTTGGACTTATACTGATCACGGAGTGTAGAGCGCCTCTCGTCGCAACTACAGCTCCGATACAACCGCCGTGCCTTGTAGAGCTCTCTCTTAAGGTTTGTTAAGGACGGCGTCCACCATGGGACAGGTCGAGCTTTCGACTTCCGGTGCTGAAAGGATTCCTCAGCGGCATCACAGACAATATTATTGATCCTAGACACCCTGTAATCCAGGTCATTAGTCTGTTCTATTTCCGCTCCATCCCATTCATCATCTACCAATTTTCTCTCTAGCGTCGACCGGAAGGCATTCCAATCTGCCCTTCGGGTTAGATAACCCTTGGCAGTACCGTGGGAACTTTCTGAATTTTCCACCAGCCTGAAGGATATCGCTTGGTGGTCGGAACTCGTCTCAGATCGGAGGGTCCAATCAACGATGCGATTGGCTATTAATTGTGGGCGGGGTGGCCGAATGGTCTAACGCGTGTGCACTGCACCGCCGTTGCCTGGCAACCTGACATATGAATTAATGATATAAAAACAGACACGAGTTCGCGTCCCGGTGCCGAGGGAGTCTTTTAAATCCCCGCTCACACTCCCTGGCCCGGGAAAATCCCGTATAGCCTTAACGGCGAGGAAGGGAAGGACAAAAAAAAAAAAAAAAAAAAAAAAAGATTGGCTATTAATGGCGTTGCCAGTGTAACGTCAATCCAACTCTGCCCCCTAGCGCTAGAGAACGTAGGGGTAGCAGAGGGATTGTTTAATACTACTAACTGGTTCCGCGAAATAAATTCGCCTAGCTTTGCGCCTCTTCTATTCGTTTGATTGGATCCCCAGACCGTGATCATCTCCATGGCGGATATGTCTTCGTCAATATCGTTGCTATCAGGTAGGTAGGCTGATACTAACGTAAAAGCTACATTACCCCACTTGAAATAGCAAGTAATAAGAAGTAAATACAGGGGGGTATCTACTACACTACGTAGGTTTGAAAGTACGCCTGTCCAGTAGTAGCTGGGTGAGGTAGTAGTCAATCCCCCCATGCTTCCTGTCTGCCCAGGATTGGATTCAAGGAACCACTCTGTATGAACACCTCACAGTTAGATGTTCTGTACAACCCTAGGGTTGTAGTCATTTGTCAATCATCTCCTTTCTTTCTTTAATCCCGGAAATACGATCGGCTCTATTGATGGCATCTTGGCCACCATACCTACTACTTCATATGAAACAGTGTGGAAGGCACTTATTGCTCATAAGGTGCTCCAACAGTAGAAAGATATCATCGGTCTTCTATAAGCCATAGTATCGAGAACAGCTTTCCATATAGTGGCTGCTCAGAGCATAACGGATGTAATCTCGCTTGGTAGCAACAATCTGCGGCTGTGCCTGAGTAACTTTAGGAACCTTATCGCTCATTCGCTCGATATGTTTCTTTAACCTGTGCCTTTCATCGATTCTCATCCCGAGGTATGTCAATGAAGACATACCTTATCGCTCATTCGCTGGATACGCTTCTTTAACTTGAGCCTTTCATCGATTCTCATCCCGAGGCCTGTCAATGAAGACATACCTTATCTCTTGCCTACCGTCAGTCAAGGTGATCTACTCACTTTTTTTTCTGAGCTGATTAGAAGGCTTCATTTTTGTAATCCGTAAGCTGCAGTCGACAGATGCCAACCAGTTGTGGATTAGTACAATATTTTGGTAACCCTTAGGATCACTTCTTCTTTGAACTTGGCCTCAACTACAACTGCTAAGTCTTCGGAAAAACCCACTGATTTGGCAACCTCTGGAAGGTAAAGGGTAAAGTGGAAAACACCATCGTACATAACGTATCACAGTAGGTGTCCCAGCACTAATCCCTGGGTACTCCCCTAGTAACTCGATACCTCCTTGGGCCATACTCAGTAGTACAGGTCAGTGTACTGTCCTTAAAGTAATCACTGACTGTCTCCTAAGGTACAGAGGGATGCCCATTGCTTGCAGGTCATCAAAGATTCAGCTCCATTTTGAGGTGTTAAAGGCGTTCTTTACATCCAGTGTGATGACTGCACAGTAACGTGGCGATGATTGTTTGAACAGTCTCTGGGCACATTAGGTATTACATTTGGGCGATTGGGCAGCGCTGGTCTTTAGTAGCTTCTTCATAACGGTTTGCCTTTCTCGTGGGTCCTTATCCACTTCCTCACAGAGTCCCATCCAGCATCACTGTTTGTTCTTCTTGATTGCCTCGCAGAACTCCCACATTTTAACTTTGTAATTTCTCCTGAAGATCTTAGAATTGATGGGGTATGGAATTGGAGGGAGTGATGTGACAAGTGTATGGTGGAGTTTTAAAGAGGCAGGTTGTCTACACACAGCTGACATGAGGTTGTGTGAAATAGATTTGTCACTCCTGATCACATTTAAATCTTTTTATTTATTCTTTTTATGTTTAGTTAATTTTTTTTCATTAAATTTCTTTATTATTATTAAGCAATAATATTTCTCATATTATTCAGTGACAAATCCATCAGTAATTTCTTCCCTCCTTCCTTTCATTCCTTTTCTCTGTTTTTAACTCTTTATTATATTATACATTGTCTGTACATCTTGATAGACTTTACAATATCTCAATTTTCTATTGAACATTACATTTTATTCTAAGATTCCCAATGTAACACTTTTGTCACCCCTTTTTGATTATGCCTACTTCATCATTCCACACTATGTAACAGTTTTTATTATTTATCTCTTAGTTCTAAGTCATTATTCTAACAATTTCATTTTACTTTATATCTATCTATTTTATTTTTCTAATATTTTTTTTTTATTTATTTATTTTTTTTTTATTATCTTTTTTACCATCATTACTTATGTTTCTCATACCTTATTATCTGGTTATTTTCTTAGCCCTGATGAAGGCCTGAACTTCAGGTCGAAACGTCGGCATATGTAAAAAATAAATATTATAATTTATTTTTGCCTTCCTTTTTGACTGAACACCCCAACTATTCTTCTCTTCAGTAATATCTGTAGTTTGTGGACCACCAGCTGTAGTTTTGTATAGGCCAGCGAGGCATTTTATTTCTCTATTATATTTACTGTTTTCTATTGTTATTATTATGGCTACAACCTGGAATTTGTGTTTGGATTTTCAAATTTGAATATTGGATCTGGTAATAAAGGAAAGCTGTTGGAGGAAGATTTCTTTCTTTCAATTTCATCCCATCATCACTAAATCCTTCATGGCTATGACTTGATGAGGACACAGAATAACCAAATATACAATGTAAAACATAACGGGTCTAGCTAGAAAAGATATTGAGCTGTTGGATGAAACGAAAAGGACTTCATAGAAAATAATGCAATCACCGAAACAAAGGAAAAGGGGATAGGCTGCAAAGATGCTGGTAATGGTTTATAATAATTTATACTGGAGTAGTAATAAACAAGAAAGCTGAACTAGGAGTAGCAATTCTTACACATGGTGACTTTACAAGGAAACTTGTTGGCTGGTGAAGCATTAATGAAAGAATACTGATTTTGAAGCTAAGTGATCAAAAAGCTAAGGAAAGGTAGATGTTAATAGTGTTAGAAGAGAATCAGGAAAGCAATGGAATGCTTAAGATGCAGAGAAAGCCTGAAAAGAATTTGGAGAGCTTATGGAATAACAAGCAAAAGGAAATCAGAAATTGTTCTATACAGTTCCGAAAAACATCAGGAATGAGAAGGAATGCCCTATAAAGTTTAGAAAGGATAATGATGGTCAAATAATATGTGAACCAAATTGAATATTAGAAAGATGGAAGAATACTGTAAACAGTTGATAGATGGAAATGATAGGAGTGAAGAAATGCCAATAGACAAATGAGAAGATAGCGTGGAACTGCAACAAGGTGAAGATGGCCCAATAGAAAAAGGGAAAATGTGGGAAGCACTGGATAGAATGAAGCTGGGGAAGGCAGCAGGTCATGATGGAATAACACCTGAGATACTTCAATATATGGGAGAAGCAGGAGTTGAATTAGTTTTTAGGGTATTATTGGATTGGAAAGGTAAGAAGATTTCGTCAGAATGAAAAATCTCCATCATTGTTCCAGTCTTTAAGAAAAGTAATACTATAGAATGTACCAATCATAGAGGTATTCATTGCTGAGTGTTCCAGGTAAAATATACTCATGTATCCTAGGTAGAGGATTGAGGAATGAGATAGAAGACCGATTCGACCAGACAGGAGAATTCAAACCACATCTTTGAGCTATACCAAATATTTAAAAAAATTCATCGAGTATGATAAACCAGTTTACTAATGTTTTATAGATTTAGAAAAGGCATTTGACAGGATTCTATGGAATGATTTATGGGCTTCACTCTGGAATTAACAAGAATCCACAGCTCTTATACAGAGAATTAATTAATTAAATCACTCACTAAGATCTGCAAAAATTATATAAGAATGTCCCATCAAACATCCCCAGAGTTGACACCACAAAGGGAGTCAGGCAGAGAGACATGGGGAGCTCTTTATATTTCATCACCCTGTGGATGATGTGATTAAGGAATGTAAGCAGAGAACCAAGGAAACTCAACTTAGTAATGTTACAGGTTACAACCTGTAAACCGTTCATCATTTGTATTTGCTGATGCTAATAGCTGACAGTTAAGGAAAGCTATAGGAAAACTAAGATGTGTGGACAGAAGAGCTAGCAAAAAGAAATATTGTTACTAGAACTTCCAAAAGACATGTATGTTGGTATCTAAAGCGGATTATGTTGGTATCCAGTGAATGTGAGAGCAGGAAATTCAGCAATGAAATTAATGCAAAAATTATCACTTCAGGAAGGAGGTTATGCACCATCAATAAAAGGTTTTTAAGTAAAAGAGAAGTGGCAAAAGAAACAAAACTAGCAGTATGTCACTCGACGTGCATCCATATCCTCACTTATAAAAGCGAATCCTGGGCCCTACAGCAATGTGCCTTTAAAGCATAGAAATGAGGTATCTGACGAAAACAGAGGGGCAGGCCAAGAGGAACCGGACACGTAACATGACGATACAGACTGCACTCAAAAGTGAACACCTCAATCAGGTAAATGGGTAAAGGCAGCTACAATAAAGGTGTAAACAATTAATAATTGTAAAAACACTAAGAAGGCACCAAGTTTAATCAAAAGTTATGTGTGTGTGTATTTTCACTAAATTTAAGTAGTGTTGAGTTGAGTGTAACTAAGATACTGTATTCCTTAAAATGATATTATATTATGTGAAATAATAAGTTGACATTAAGCAATATACCTCTATAAGTAACAGGTGAATAATTAATATAAAAATTTAAATATCTTCTTATTCGATAATTTACTTTACTTTTCAGTGTAGAGATGTTTGCATTAGGAATGTATTAGGAATTGAGGTTATCCTACCAAGGAATTCTTGGCATACCTTTCGGTTGTTTCACCATTGGCTTAGCTTCAATAGCTTTCTTTGCTGAACGCAGTCATCCATTCTCATTACATTACTGAACTGAACTGAAGCTTCGATAGTATAATAACATAAATTACTATTATTTCACATAATTTAATATTTTTTCATATTTAAGGCAATAATACTTCCAATTTTCTTCAAATTCTTTTAATTACATTTGTTATCTCTAACGTTTTGGGACAATTTTTCCATCATCGAGCAATCTTTATCTGCACTTTCTTTTTTTGATGTGGCACCATTTTTCAAAAATCAAATATTTGTCACATTTTTTAAAACTATTTTTTGGTGTTACACATCTTTTCATGTATCAATGAATATGAACGTAGCCTTCCTTATAAAAAAAGAAAAATAAAAAGATAATTTAATATCATTTTAAGGAATACATAATCTTAGCTACACTCGACTTAACACAACTTAAATATAGTGAAAATACACACACACACACACACACACACACACACACACACACACACACACACACACACACACACACACACACACACACACACACACACACAAAACACACACACACACACACACACACACACAAACAAACAAACAAACAAACACACACACAAAAACACACACACACACACACACACAAACACACACACACACACACACACAAACAAACAAACAAACAAACACACACACACACACACACACACACAAACACACACACACACACAACTTTTGATTAAACATGGTGCCTTCTTAGTGTTTTTACAATTATTACTTTTTTACACCTTTATTGTAAATAGTATTATAACATCAATGTTGCAACATATACAATGACAAACAGAATTAATAAATATAGAATTAATAGGGATACTAAATCTTAAATCTCATTCTGTTTGAACCGAAAAACTGTGCACTTACATCTGTGAGGTTGATCATTAATTTTTATATTTCTCTCCTCTTGGTCTGATATAGTTTTTTTTTTTTTTTAATTACATTTATTATGCAAGTTAATAATTTGATAAACTAATATTGTTGAGTTCACGTTTTTATTATTTTTACAATAGGAAATATGTTGTATAATCTTCTTCCTAATGTTAATTAATTAATTGGTTTTAATTGTTTAAAATAAACATATATGTTTGTTAGTATAGATTAATAATATCCTTGTTATTACATTACCTTTGCCTGTTTTCATCCTTACTATAGAGAACGACATAATAGCCCTCCTGGTTAATGCCGCCTTTCGGTTCGACCACATCCAGCGTCGAAGGACAACAATCAACGGGGAGACCCTGCGATCCACCTTCTTTCCTTAACAGCAATTGGTTCTCCCGGTGAGACCTCCAACTGCTGCTCCCACCTTCAATCGAACCAGCATCATCCCCTTCATATGACCTAAGGAGAATAAAAAATTCTTTTTATCATAAATTAATTACACACTACTTAGAATAAATCATAATAAAAACTGCTAATTGAGAAACAGCAGAAAAGTGAAAAAGTTATTTTCTTTAATAACTGCAACTTGTGGCTCCGAGAATCCTATTAAGTTTCTCCCAAACTGATAAAAAGTTTAAAATTTTTAAAAATACAGAGAGATAATTTACAATTTCTCTAGCAATTAGCAGAAAAAAATCGATTTAAAGATATCCTTTGAGAAAACAAAAATAATGATCAATAATTAAGAAACTGAAAAGAAAATTAGAACAACTGTAAAACAGTTGAACAGTTGAAGTACTTCTAGGAGAACTCATGAAGTACAATGGGAGTGATTTACA